CTAAGATGCTGAACAACAGCTCAACCTGGAGCTGGGCTGCCCTAGGCTGCAGCCCCTGCTGCAGTGGGTTGCCATGGGCTACCGTGTGTAGCCAGCAGCCGCAGTGAGCGGCCGTCCAGAAGCCGGCAACCTATCTGCCTTGCCAGGGAAGAGCGCTATGATAATACCAACATGGGCCAATGAAGCAACGTCCTCCACAATCAGACTGAAGAACAAAAGGACAGCAACTTGTCTGTTCCCCTTCCCCCAATTCCCCAGTGCTGTTCCCATCCCCCAATTCCCCAATAAAATTTAAAAAAAAACATGAGAAAAAGGGTAAATTCAAACAGGCGTTTGAACCCAAAATCATTTTAAAAATCATTTGTTTAAATGTATTCAAGAGAGAAATTCATGTGTGAATTCTATTTTCTTCATGGTGTGTGAGGAGAGGGCCAACTGCGTGGGTGGAGGGGGCTACAGTGCTTCAAAATATAAGCCTTAGGCTTGAAGGGGTAGAAGTGAGAAGGAGAGAACTAAGGGAGGCTCATCATGAACCAAGGTGCTGTGACTGTCCTGGACAGCCCCTCTGTCAGTCATAGGAACAGGTGCTCGCTCTGAGGGGACTCCCGGACAGCCCCCAAGAGGCTCCCTGGGCTAACCTCTTCCTCAGACAGCAGCTGTTCAGGGCAGGCCAGCTGTGTTGGTTCTGTGCTTTAACAAGTTCTCTGAGTCCAGTCGGCCTCAGTTTCTTCACATGTGAAATGGGGATAATAGTGCTATCTATCTCAAAAGTATAGATTTGAAGACTAAATGAGTTAAATGTTTTTAAGATAAGCTTATTTGTTGAGTAGCAGTATAATATGTATTTTAATTTTTTGTTTGTTTTAGAAAGTTGTCAACCATGAAAAGGCTTTGGGGAGGCAAGCTCTAATTTTTTCTTCTCATGCCTTGAAACAAAATTTAAAAACTGCTTGAAATTAAACTCCAAAAATAGCAGATATTTCATTTTCCAACAAATTGTATCTATAGAATTTCTTTTGATATGACAATGGCTGAGAAAATAGTTCTTTCGGAAGATTTTGTAGCTCAGTTTCTTTCTGAGAACAGTTGGCTTATTTACTTTCCATAGCTCCTTTGTGTATTAAAGCCAGGATATTCTTTGTTCCTTTGAACCTGTGTCAGTGTCCCTGCAATTCTGGGTGTCTCCGTTCTGTAGCATTGACCTTTGGGGGGTTGGGATTTCCCAACACAGAGCGCGCTGATAATTGATGAAACCTGAGTGTGGGGCTCCCATTGGGCCTGGCTGGCGTCAGTCATCAGGCTCTTTTGCACTGATAGTACTAATTCCAGCTTGCCTAAGCTACTGTAGTTACTTGTCTCTTAATAGCATCATCCTCTTTTTTTCTGTTCCTGTACCCCACCTAAAGTTTCAGAAGCAAAGAGGCTGGGTGGGGGATGGGGGGGTGGGGGTGGGAAATATGAGGTCATGAAATCTGATTGTCCTGTCTTGAAGTAAATGGCAGGAGTGATAGGCTTGTAAACATTGATCCCAGTCGTTGTCTTCTGCTTATGGACCTCTCAGTTGGAATTTGGTGGGGACCCTGCTGAGTGCCTTTTGAGTCCTCACCTTCAGGATACTGTTAGATGTGCTGAATAAGTATCTCCCGTTCCCAGCAGGGATGCTTTTAATTCTTGCCCTTCCCTGAGAGCCCCAGGCCTGGGATAGACCACTTGGCTCCCAGTAAAGTCTCTAGCTTGGCATTTTTCATTGGGTTGTTCTGAAGAGCAAGACTCTCAGCTGTTGAGAGTGATAGTAGGGAGGACCTCCACTGGGGAGAATAGATTCTCTTGAGTGTGAAATATAGTAAGTAGTGTTGCTTCTGCAAATGTGGAAGGGAGCTTTTGCACAGAACACATAGATGAACTATAAAGAAGCCCCCATTTCCTTTCCCTGGACTCTCTTCATATGGGAAATTGTAGTTAGCTGCATTGTTCCTTCTGAATGTTTCTCTTGGTTTTCATTCTTGAAGGACTGCCACCAACTCCAGTCCAGCTGCTCTATCCAGTGTCCCGATTCAGCAATGTCAAATCCCTCCAGCACCTTTGCAGATTCCGGATCCGACAGCTCGTCCGGATAGATCACATCCCGGATCTTCCACTGCCTAAGTACGATGGGGTCTTTAGGACTGGGGGCTGGAAGGAGGGTTCCTTACAAATGTTAGTGAGGCCTGCAAGCTGATTGCACAGGCAGAGCCTGGCCATGTTCACCGGCATCCTCCTTTCACTTCCCCTGGTCTTGGCACCTAACTCTAGAATTGTCACATTGTAGCCAGATGGGAGGAAGGTGTGTGTGTGTGTGTGTCAGCCTCCCTTCTGCAGTCTCTATGAAGAGTGGAGGGAAGGAGACAGAACTATAGTAAATGAGAAAGTGGGAATTTTGTTAGGGTAGCAGAGTCATTGGTGTAGTCTCAGCCACATAGGGATTGAAGAGAAGGAAGTGTTGAGCAAAGGCGGTCTTTCTTTTATAATCTATGTAAATGACATTTTGTGTGTACCCCTCTGTGCTTTTTACAGACCTCTGATCTCCTATATCCGAAAGTTCTACTACTACGATCCTCAGGAAGAGGTATACCTGTCTCTAAAGGAAGCGCAGCTCATTTCCAAACAGAAGCAAGCGGTTGAACCCTCCACGTAGCGAGGGGCCCCTGCTGGTCACCACCAACGGTATGAGCTCTCTGCCTCACTGTCCAGCCATGCTCCTCCTGGGCAATTGCCATCATGTATGGGCCTTGTCCCCGCCTCATCCCTGCTCCTGGCATCTGCCTACCATTACCACATCTGATAACAGAGTCCCCAAGGGGTGCATACCCCAGTTGGGAGAAGAGCAGATAGACAAGGGAGCCTGAAAGAATATTTGCCAAGTAATGTGCAGGCTAACCACTGAATGTAGAGGAGGACACACATGTATAGCTAAGTGTGCAGCTTTCTCTCATACTTCGGCTGATCTCCCTGATATTGTACAAATGACATATAAAGCAGGAAACCAAAGGGGAAGGAAACTGCATCAAAGGTAACACAAACATACCTTTAATGGCAGTAGGCATGCACTTCAGTGAGAGCTCCACTGTGTCCCACGGCTTGGCATAGGGGGCTGAGGAAAAACAGCTCACTCTTCTCTTTAGAGTTTGATTTGGGGCACTAAAAGTAAATTGTTCAGTAGAATAAGTGAATTAACTAAATTCATTTATCTAAGAGGCTGTTCTCCCATTGCTACACTAACTGAACTCAACTCATTTTCCCATAAAATATCTTGGCATACTGGTTCCTGCAGATGAATTCTGATGTCTTTTAAATTGCATTAATGTGAGCATTCAAAGGTAGTGGTGAATAGGGAACAAAATTGCCAGAAAGTGGTGATTTTGGTAGTGTGGGTTTACATGCAAGATCTCACATTCCAGTGATAAACCGCTGGGATGCAGTGGACCCCTCCATCCCCCACCCCGCCCCAGTCTTTCCTTAGTGTGGCATGTCCTTTTGAAGCATTGAATACTTCTGCTTCTCTCATAACCTCTCTGTTCCCCAGTCCCATCCCACACACAAAACAAAGGGGGGAAGTCCACAGGAGCAACAGCCTTAGAGTGAAAAGGGGGCTTTAATCTCTCCACCCACTCGCTCTCTCCATAACAGAAGGGTGACCATTGATGTTTATGTCCCATGGATTTTCTTGAGCCATGGCTAAGGTGAACCCAGCTGTGTGTCTCCTCTTGGTTCTGATCCTGTGTTATTGCACGGGGGCTGGGCTAATAAGGATTAACAAGGGGAGAAGGAATGAAGAGGAGAGACCAGCAAATGGTAACTCTGGGAGGCTGCAGAGTTTTAACTTAAAGGATCCTGGATCGGGTGTACAATCTCTTATCATCGCTTCAATTCTGTGCAAATTCTGTGCCCTCAGAAGTGTCTCCTAAGACATCAGAATGCCCTGATGTTGAGGGGCATTTCTCTGCTTGGTGGTTTTGCAGTTTAGCTTAGCGTGGGAAAGTAGAAGGGAACCTGGGAGTCTCACCTACCTGACTGCACCCTTGAAAATTAGGACCCTTCAGTTACAGCACCACTTCTGTGGGTGCTATGCCCTGGGAGGAACCCATGTGAACAGGAGCATATTCAGAGAAAGACTCAGGACGGTGGAGGGTTCCAAACTGTATCACATGGGAAATACATGACTAACATGAGACGTTTTAAGGTGAGAGGAACTTGGTAGCTGAAAGAAGTAGGGATTTCCCTAAGGAAGAGTATTAAACTTACTCTGTGTGGTTCCGGGGGCTGGACAAGGACTACAATGGTTGTAAGTTATAAGAAGTTTGATTTCAGTCCAACTTTAGAAGAATCATTTTAACAGAGAGGTCCAAAAATGGAATGATTTTTCCACAGGAATCAGTTCCCCATTTTTAAAATTCACTTAGCAGGTATCTGTGTATATACATACATACCCAGTGTGAATTGTGAATAGAGTGCTGAGCAAGATCATCAAAGGGCCTGTTCTCACTGAGCTGTGATTCTCATAGGGAGAGACAGACAGCAAACGTGTAAATAAATGAATAGGTTCATTTTAGTCGACTGTACATGTTATTAGAAAATAAAACTGGTGAAGTTTAGTGATTCGTGGTGGGATACTCAATTTGGATGATCAGGGAAGGCTCCTGTGAGGAGGTGACATTTTCCCTGAGATCCAAAGACTGAGGAATTCAGCCATGCGAGGATCTGGGAGGCAGAACATTCTGTGCAAAGGGTCTTGGAAGTATAAAGGCCCCAAGGTGAGAAGGGACTTGATAAGATCAGGTATAGGCCAGGGGTAGCCATTTGTCACCAGTGTGGGGGGCAGTCATGTGTTGGTAAAGGGTTGAACTGAACTCCCAGGGTCTCTTTCCTGTGACACTGGGATTGTTGTCTGTGGCAAAGAATAAGCATCATGTCATACTTGTTCTTGATTTACACCCTAGGACCCTGTGAAAAAAGGGAAGTAACACTTCTCAAGGGAGAGGTCTTTAAAGTGTAAAATTTTGGTCTCTATGACTTCTTGTTGGTGAGGTTGATTTTAATTTGGGAGTTCTGAATGGACCACTTGGTCTGTTACCTGGGGAATTTCATGCCAGGGTGCTTGGAGTGTAACAGCTTGAACAGTACCCTTCTTAAATTAGAAAGTAGAAGCTGCACTGGCCTTTGTGATAATATGTCAACCCTCTTCAATGGCCAGAAGCTGCAGAGACCTACAGCTATTTCCAGCCAGGCTCTCAAGGGGCTATTTTAGGGGCTCGGCTCCTTTTTTAATCCCTAGAGCAGGTGCCTCGGGAGAAGTGGGGAGGAAAGTAGGTAAAAAGATTAAGGAGTAAGGGAAATGGAAAGAGGGGAGTTAGGCAGTGTGATAGGACATATTATTAGTTCTTTTAGAACCTTCCTTTTAGCATCCAGGTCGTAGGCTGCTCAGGCCCCTCCGACAAAGGCCGTTGCTACGTCCCAGCTAGCTGCAATGTTTGTAGAAGTGTTTGGCTAGCCAGACTCCATTCTCCTTTTGAGCTGTACTTCTCTATCTCCAAAGGCTAGGCTCTTCTTTCACTCCACTTTGGTTTCACTCGGTTTAACCACTAATCTTTTCCCCTTTTTTTGCCTAGGCATTTGGTTGCCAAGCTCCAGTTTTGAAGAACCAAATGAAGCTACCATGAACGAGGAGTAAGAAAAAAACAAGAGGGAATAGGAAGGGCTGGGATCCTCTGCGCAAAGACTTTGGTTCCCCCCACCACTCTGGGGCTTGGAAGAAGCACACAACCATACTCTCTGATTGGGGGCTCCGCCATGCGCATCTAGCCCCTGTGATATCTTGGAACTGGATGAGCTCCTTGGAAAACTGGAAGAAGTCTCAACACTGTTCCTTTTTCACAAGTTTTGTTTTGGACATTTACATTTCTCAGTATGAAAAACTCACCTTAAAGACAGCTGGGTTTGTGCCCATTGGATTGGAAGTGGTGTGAAGGGTGAGCAGGTCCAAAGGGGGTGGGTGGACCACCAGTGTGGGTCAGGCAGCTGGTGCCAAAGGCAGAATGCGAGTTTTCACCATTGACCTTGAAGAAGGGAAGAGAAGGAGTCAGAAGTGCAAATCAGGTTGGGAGTTTCTGAAGGATGAGAGTCTGCTTCTCTTTAAGCATGAGTAGCTTCAGTGGGAGCAGGAAAGAAAGGAGGTGGGTGGTCTCGGACAGAAGATTGCTGGACAGAAACTGGCAGATGGCCTCTGCTGGGGGAAGTAGTGACTCCTTGCATCCGTTCTTTTTAAGGTTCAGGAACCTGATTTCAGAATCACCTCTCATAGAAGCTGGATTCGTTTTATTTTACTTGATTCCTAAGTTCTGTGACCTCAAGTTAGCCCCATTCTTCCTCCACCCTCAACCTGTTCCCCAAGTTAACTGTACATTTCACCCTGGTCATGGTAATTCATTCCTTTTGCTTCTGCCAGCTGTCCTGGCACTAGTTTTTCTCATCACCTGAGCAGTTCAGAGCTCCAGTCATGGGCTGCTGAAGGGAATGGAGTGTGCCTCCAGGTTTTGAATGGCCATCTGTACCACGACTTAGGAGCCAGTGTTACTTACCTCCATATGTCTGCCGGCTAGTGAGAGGGAATGTGCAGGCAGGTGGGAAACAAAGCTATCATAGTTGTACTCGTCCTAGAGAAAGCTCTCCAGTGTCTCAGCCTTAATGGGATGTCCTTAGATTAGGAGGAGGAGAGCATTACATCTCATGTTTTTGGGTTTATCACTGTCGTCCCACTTCTGGGACAGGAGGTAGCAAGGGCTTCTATATTTTCCTGTGTTCTTTCTGGCAATGCAAACATTTTCCTGAGTCAGATCCTGCTTGCCCTCTTTTCACTGGGATTCTGTCAGATGCTGATTTCAGAGTTGCCTCTCATCCAGGTGGAAGTGAGGAGGAGGGAGAAGAACTCCAGTGCTTTTCAATGGTCTTCAATTTTTTCTGAAGCAGGCCATGGTGAAATCATACAACATTATAAATTTGCTTTTCTGTAGAGTTACTCTGGGGAAAGTTTTGCTATTAAGACGTGAAAATTGAGCTGTTTAGTCTTTATTACCCTTTTCCAGTAAGTGTTCCATTAGACTGCCTCTTTTGGTACCCTAGGCTTTGTATCTGCCTCATCTCATGAGATAAATAGTACTGTCAGGTTTGTGGTTTCCTGATGGTTTGGGGTGAGGCCTCCGTGACTTGTTAATTTATAGGACTGCCTCATCTGGAAGCATTGGCCTTCTGCCTTACGACCTGTGTAGAATGACCAGTCTTCCTCCTTGCAGCATTCTGAAGAGGGAGGAAACTTGCATTGTTACTTGGCCCTAAAGAGGCTGTCCTCTGATTTGTCAGGAGGCGCTTCTCCTCTCCTTGGCTTCCATGGTAGTATTACCAACAGTTAAGATTGTGATCCCAGAAATTGGCTTAACCTGTGAGCCTTGCCTCTTAAGGGTGCAGATTAACTTGCCATCTTGCAGAAAGTGCCACCCACCCCTCCCCCACCCCTCATTGTAGAGTCTGAAGTCTGGAATCCATTGGGATCCTTGAGTGGCTGATGTGCAGCTCTCTTGAGATTTTTTTTTTTTAACCACTTTCATTACCCACAATTTTTAGGTTATTCCTTAGTATGTGTTTGCCTGGCTCTTGGGCCACGTACTGTGGAAAACACAGGAGTCAGAAGACGTGGTATCTGGCTTTAGGGAATTTTTAGAATACTGCCACACATGAAGCAATTGGAGAGTGACTCAGTGTGGCAGGGATTCAGGGCTGTCTTTAAAGACATTGAGAGCGGGTAACATCAGGGTAGACCAGATGGCGTAGGAAAGCTCTGAGGCAGTGAGGCTTTGGGTTGTAGGCGAGGGCAGGACAGTGAGATGAGAAACACATGAACCAAAAGCATGGAAGCAGAAGTGTGCATGGCGTGTACTGAGCAGTGCACAGCCCCAAGTTAGAGCAGAAGCACCGAAGAATCCATTTTCAGTGCGAAACCTCCCAGTCATCAGGCAGATCTGAGTGCTGAGGGCTTATGATGGTGAAGTGGAGTCCAAAGCCAGAAGTCCAGTTGGCTTCCTGCTGGTGGCCAAGGACCTCACTGCTCTCGGTGCAGCCTGTGAGAGGCAGGGCTCCTGGACTCACTGTGGTACCGGGGGTTTCCACTGGAGAATTCCTACACTCAGGTACAAAACCAAACCAGCCGAGGAGGGCCAGCCTCATCCCTGTCCTCTTTCTGCTCCTGGGAAGGGTGGTGGTTACCTGTCTGTGATCTGTCTGCTTTCGTCACAGCCCAGGCTGCAGCCTATTCCTTTCTCAGTAGAGTGGGTACAAGACAGTGCAAGAGGGGACTGGCTCCATTAGGAGACGTGGTGGACGAGGCAGGACGGGGGCAGTTGGCTGAGATGCCAGCCTGGTCAGAGTAAACGGAGCAGGAACAGCTGGCCTGTCGTTAGCATTTCCCCTTCTTCTCTCCTGGCTGGGCCCACCCCCTCCTTTGCCAATTCTGTGCAGTGCTAATTGAAATGCAGTCTACAGAGGGTACTTGTTCCTTTTGGGTCGTTTTCTAAAGTCACAAACTGGAAAAGGTTCTCAGTTCTAGAGACCCCTTATTGATTTCTAAGTTGTGAGTGGCTGATGTCAGCACCCTCAGGCCCTGCCTGTGTAACCCTCGCTTGTTTATGATTGATCTGCTGTAATCATCCTCAGGATGGCGTGAACCACTGTGAGCTAGTGACAACTACTGCTACGACTGCTATTACTTGAAACTTGTGTGCTGTGGTAGGAGCGCAGGAGTGAGGAGGTGTAGGGACTAGATAAGTGGGTGAAAGCTGGAGTTTGGGCCCATCGGTGATGACCTTGGCCTAGTTGTCTGCCTATGCCTAGATATAGTGAATGTGTGTATATTCACTGGAATATGAGCTGAGGACTGCAGCCACCGGCCTCCCAGGAGGAAAGGCACGATGGGGAGCTTGCCGCCTGGCCGGTTTCTACTCCTCCACCTCCTCTCCTCCTTTTTACTTGACTGATTATATAGGCCCCTTATTAAGGTTGGGGATGATGTGGAGACAGCTGCAGACACCCATAGTGCACATCCAGGAAGAACTGGGGAGCAGAGAGGGTTGTTAATGGTCCCACATCCAGGTGTGACAGAAGAGTGGGGAGCTGGATGCCCCGAGGTGCCAGCCCATTCAGGCCTCACCCCCAGGTCCCCAGAAGATCATGGCCTGCTCAAAGCCCTCAGGGCCCAGCAGGGTGTGGGGATGGGAAGAACTTTTCCCTTCAGTACCATCCGTCCCCGCCCTGCCACCTCTCCCTTGGCTTTGAACCCTGAAGTTGGAGGGCTGGGCGCTAGGATAGAGTGCTGTGGCTGCTGGAGGGCCATCTGAAAGTTTGTGCGTGTGTGCATGTGTGTCTTCATTTGCGGAAGTCTTGCCACCAGTTGGGGTGTTGAGAGCATCTCTATTGGGGGGAGACCAGCCATTTGTTTTCCACTTTTAAGAGAATGACATAACCCCTGTCCCTAAGGGAGGAGCTTTTGAGTTAGACATTTTCCCTATGGGAATCCTCTTGGTTTGGTCTGTGGGAAAGGGGGGTAACGAATAAATGATTTTTATCTCTAATCGTCAACACAGCTGTTCTTACACTGAATTTGTGCTATTGCATACATGTAGCCATCTTTCTTTTCACTGCAGCAGTGTTTATCAGTAGTTCAAAATGATTTATTTGCTCCTGGGGAGTAAAACCTTTTTTATTAAAAAAGAAAAAGAAAAAAAATAATAAGAAAAGTGTGATCCCCTCCCTCCCATGATAGTGAAAGGATTATTGGGCCACAACACTCAAGAAAGCGAAGTCAAGTGAACCAGTCCCCATGATCTCTCCTGTTTTGACATTGGAGCTTCTTGCTCAGCACAAAACAACAGGAGGCCTTGAGAAGATGGAGGGCAAAGCATTGGGAGGAGTGAGAGGGGCTGTACCAGAGAGAGAGGCACTGGGGACACAGGTGCTGCAGTAAGAAAAATAGTGAAGAAGTGTATTTAAAATATTGACTCTAATCTGCCAGGGAAAGACCTTTCTTTACATGCAAATTCCATGTTGTCTTTGTCCTTTTCATCCCTCTTTGACCTTCCTGGTAGGTGCTGTCCAGTTTCTTCCTGTTTCCCTTTCTGTCCTCTCTGCCCCTTCTCGGATCCTTTCCTCGTCCCATTTACCTCCCAGGAAACCAGTCCTGCGTGCTGAGTCTGTGACATGCCTTCACACCCATTTCATCTCATTTAGAGGGTACCTGGAGTTGCTCCATCCCCTTCTCCCGCTCCCTCCTCCGCCATGCCAAGAGGCAAGGGGCAGGCAGAAAGCAGCCAGCCATGGCCGGAAGACAGGACTGTCTGGTTGCAGCTGGACTGCGATCATAGTTGCTCTTGGAGATAAGAGTACAAGGAAAGCTTAGGACGCTCTTGATCAGAACCCAGGATAATCCCAAACCGCACAGCCCTGCTCAGAGCTGTGTCCTAAGCCCCCTACCCAGCTCGGGGGGGAGCGGGAAGGCTGGTCTGACTGCATCCCTGGTGCTCCCTTGAACGGGGACCTGCCCCTCATGTTAGGCCCAGAACCCTTTCCAAGGGACAAGCATAATCCAGGCACCGCTCTGTGGGCAGCCCAGGTGCTGGAATGCCCCAACTGGTGCTGCCTGTGGCACAGCCACTGCTGTACATTTTTTGGTTGTTTTAAGAAGCTCCAGAGGGGTGTCATTCTAGGCTCCTCGGGTGGTTGTCTATTCTTCACTGGAGGGGAGCCTCACCCCCTGCAACCACTTCTGTCCTCTTCAGCCACCCCACCCTCCAAGCCAAAGCGTGGCCTGGCTTTTCTCTTCCCATTTAGTTTTCCTCCTTTCCTCTCCCTTTTTGTGCTTAATTTATTAAAATAGTTGCTGTATAATTTATTTTCATAAACTATAAAAATGACTAAATGGTTAAAATAGACTTGCAGGCCAATCTTAAATGGGGTGGGAGGGTCTGAGGGTGGGTGGGGAAAGATGTTTTGATATAAACAAAACAAATGCACTTTGGGTGTGTTTTGGTATTTTTCTGGGGCTAGAAGGGTGGGTGTTGGGCTGTCCCTGTAGATTAGTTCCAGAATGGGGTGTCTGTATATATTGTATTAATAGGCATGTTTGACTCTTGTAAAGGGACATTAGTAGCTGCTGCAGGTCCTGTTTGGAATCCCATGTACAATTTCCGGTTTTTTGTAAGTGTCAGTGCGGGAGACATTTGACTCTTGTGTTTGTATCTCCTTTTTATGATTGCTGTACTGACCATGTCTTTTTGGCGAGGGGTGAAAAGAGATTTGAAATAAAAATGTTTAGAAATTATTTCATGTTATTCGGGTGTGTGTTTCTCAGTCCCTCTCCCTGCTCATACGACTCCTCACACCACACCCCCTGGGGTCAGATGACCCACTCCTGGGGATTGGGGAGCCCCTGTGACCTCAGCCAAGCACAGCACATCCAGAACTGGTCTTGTCAGAATTAGAGATGTGGAAAAATTCCTGAGTCTGATGGCCATTGCTCAAAGCTGCCTTCTCCTTCCTTAGGAAGTGCAGGAAAATTCCAGAAAGCTTTCTGGGGCCAAGCGCCTGTGGCCTTTTTGCCTTGGTGAGCAGTGGTGTGGGGCTGCACTTAGGGAGAGCTCATATGTTATCTTTGTACATAGCCATCCCTAGCATTTACCTAGGCTGGCAGTCAAGGTTTTTTCCTAAATTTAACCTGCATACCTCTGCCTTTCTAGCCTATTCTCTCTTGAGCTGTGCTTTCTTTGGACAGAAAAAGACCAGGTCAAGGCTACCTCTTCACCTTCCCACCCAATCCCTTACCGAGGACCCCACTGGGAGGACCAGTGTACCACCTTGGCATATTTGGGGGAGTTTTCTGCAATTTCTCTGCATTCTTAGTGTGGGGAATACGCTGAGAGAGAGAGGAAATCGAGTTCCCAGGAGTTGCATTTTCTGAGGACTGACTAGAAGAGCTTCAAGGAGAGAGTCTGGGAATCCCTGCTCGCCAGCCAACTCATTGACAAGTCCAGTGTCTCATTAGGATGAAACAGTATCGTATCAATGTGACAGCATTAACTCCTGATTGAGTTTTCTTCCCCTTTGGAAGAAAAGGTGCTCCAAGCTGTGCATTGTGAACAACATTACAAGGGAAAATGCTTAACTCAGAATCAGCAATTCAAATACTTTAATGGCCGCCATTTGGACAGTTTGTCAATCATCAGGAATCTTTGACTGACACCATTAGTCAAGAGTGTTAGCGTGCATCTCTTGAAAGTAGAGAAACAGGTTTTCATGACTTCAAATCAGCATCTTTCATAGTAGTGAGGATTGGTTAGGTTTGTTAGGAAAGATAGGTACGAGTCCCCTCTGACTTTGGTGATAAAGCCACAGAAGGAAAGGCATTCTTTTGGAAACAGTGAGCCCAAAATAAACTACCCCCTCCCACCCTCTTCACCCTAAAAACCTGATACCACCTACTTCATCTTCTGTGTTCCCTGGCTACCCCCTGTGTGAGGGATTGATCGAGTTAAAGAAGATTTCAGGGACTTTCACTGCACATTGGATGTCATGTCCTGGCGCTCCTTTCCTGTAGCTGCCACCCTCCCCCATGCCCTGGTGTTGAAGAAAACCGCAACATAGACATCCTTTTCTTCCAGATATGGGCCTATTTCTTTGAAAGGAACACCATATGTAGAAATGACTTCAGGCCAAGCTTTAGACATGTTAAACGCTTATCTCACCTGGAGAGTGGGCTCTGTCTGGGTCTTGTTCATTTTCTGCTCTGTCCCCCACCCCACAGCCCAGTGCTGGGCCAGCACACCAAGAGATGTCCCCCATGTTTGCTGAAAATGGTGGAGTAAGTCAAAGACAGGCCAGGAGGGAACATGGCAGTAGAGGAGGGTCCTCTGGGTGGAGTCACCTTTGGGCCTGAAAAGGGGGTGGGGGGGAAGCAATCATATGGAATGAGAACTCTCTCAGGAGGCAATGCTGGTAAGGGGAGAACCCAGAATGCCACGTGGAGTCTGGAGGAGAGGCAGCAGGACGGGTTTTGTGGGTCTGGATCTCTTGGACAACCTTTTCAAACCTCACTGTCACCCTGAGACTAAGACACCCTCCTAGAATCTCAAGGGGGAGGCGGGAGGGGTGGTAAGGATGGTGGGCCAAACTCAGATGCATCTGATGGGTCATTTATTTGCCTCCTCTCCATCATACACCCACTGTTTATACTGCTAGGGAGGACCCGCCCAGCATTTGCAGACTGGATTTGAGTGCTGGCTCCACCACTTGCTAGTCATGCAATCTTGGGCAATCCACTTACGTTTTCTCAGTCTGTGTCCTCTTGAAATGAGAGAGAGCATTTTTACTTACTTTATGTGTGAGTAAATGAGATAATGCACGTACAACGCCTGGTACCTCTTCAGCACTCACTAAATAGCCACAGGCACTAATTATTACCATCATTATTAGCAACATTTTGAGAAAAGGACTGAGAGCTTTTTGCCTTCCCAAAGGCAGAAGGACTTCAAGCCCCTGCCACCAAAGACTGCAAACGGATGGGATGGAGAGGAGAGAGGAGAAAGGAGAGGTTACTGAGGGGAGGGCTCAGGGGCTGGTGGTGGGAGCCTGTGGGGCCAGCGAATCATTGGGCTTTTCCTGCCACCTAGTGGCCTCCTCAGGGTTAGGCCACCCAGCTGTCCCCTCGGGTCTGGTGGTGGTGGGGGGAGGCTGAGCTTAAATATTCCTGAACACGGTATCTCCACTGCACTTCTGTGGCCCCCATTTAATGCCCTGTCCCTTTGGGGACCCTGGCCTATGACCCATCCCCCACATGGCCCTTGGGTGGGGGACAAGAGTCCTTTCTCCGGTGGAGGGAGAAGGGGAAACCTTTGTTCTCTTGGCTCCCAGGCAGCGTGGGGATCTGAGGCAGACACCCCAGGGGCTAGTGGAGGCCACCCTTAGGCCCACCCCACCTCCACCGGCTTGATGATTGCTAACGGTATTCTTGCCCCAGGGGGATGCCAGGGCCTCCTGGCCCTGGGGGCCCAGGCCCATCTCAGTGTCTGCCTTCTATAAATACGTACTACTTTGTGCAGGCCCTGGGTTAGGGTTCTCCTGAGCCTCCCCCTCCCACCTTCCCCAGAGGACTTTGCCTATCATCTCCAGGATGAGAGGAAGGGGAGACAGAGACCTGCATCCAAAGACTTGCTGCTGAAGGGCCCAGCTGGGGCCCCCGAGTCAACTTGGTGTCTGGGTCTCTCATCATCTCCTCTCCCTGTGGGGAGGTGCCCTCCCCTCTGAGGAGGCCGCCTGGAATGATGTCCTAGTTGCATCATATCTGACTCCAGCTGTGACTATTTGAGGGGAGGTTTGACCCTGGGGGAGGGGCTTTAGGGGGCGGCCACGAGCTACAGGAAGGAGCCACATATTGAGCTGGGAATTCAGAGTCAGGCATCCCCAGGCCCCAAGTGTCTGCCTTGCCACCCACTGCCCTCCCCACCCGGGACGCCCACTTTTCCTCTCCGCCTTGCAGCCTCAGCTGCACCAGGCCAGGATTGCATCATTCTTAGCTTTGTTTGCAAAGCAGCAGGTGGAGGAGGGGGGCCTGCTGCCCACCAGCCCCCTCCCCTCACAGCGCCTTCCACTCCCTCCTGGGTAATCCTCCTCCTGCCTCCCTTCTCAGGCCATGGCACCCCAGGAAATGTCTGCCTTACCCCGGGCTCTCAGCTCCCTTTCCACCTTCTCCCACTCCCCAGGGAGCCCCGGAGGCTCCAGAGGCAAAGGGAAGGACGCTGAGGGGTGGGGATCAGCACCAGGCTGGAAACTGCCCTTCATCACTTCTGTTTCCCGGACCCGGTTGAAGACAGGAGCCACCGCCAAAAGGAACACCTGGTTGTAGCCAGGATATGGCCTCCTGGAATTTGGGGATAAGGTCAGAAATTGTCACCCGCTAAACTAAAGCTAATAATAATCAACGTAAGATACACGAATTCAGCTCTTTGTGGAAAGTGTTTGTCTTGAGTGTTTATGTACTTGGTCAGAGGATGAGGCATGTTGTACTTACATCTCATTTGATCTTTCATCAACCCTGTGAGGCGGTGCTGTTACCATTCCTGGTTTATGGATGAGGAGGCTGGAGCTCAGAGAGCGGAGTATACCACACAGCCACTAAATGGCAGACCTTGGATTTGAATCTTGGTCTGTCTTCCTCCAGTGAGACTCAAGGCCTCTCAGAGAGAGTATTGGAAAATATGATGCTAACCAGACTTAGACATTTTTTTATTCCCAAAAGGAGGTTTTTGCCCAAAGATACCCATCAAGAGATAAGACTGTCCTCTTTCAAATCTAATGAAGAAGATAAAATAAGATACATATCAAATGACCTGGGCTGAGCCTTGCCTCCATCCTCCACTTCTGCCTCTCAGAGGTAATGCTGTTGCTGAAGGTTCTGGCCCACATGGGGTGTAGATACAGGAAACAAAGAGCAGGAGCTTGTGTGTATGGGGGGTCCAACCTGCCAGGGAAAATTGGGGGGTTGCGCATGTGGACCCCCCAGGCTGGGGTAGAGACACCACCCCTTCCTTTCACAGGGACTCTGCTTGTGAGCTTCCTGTGGTGCTCAGGGTGTGTGGATAAAATAGCTTTGGGGTTTAGTAATCTAGCCACCATGACTTTGGCTGGTAGGAGCCTAGTCCTCAGGACCCGCTGAGCGTCTTTGGGGGTAGACAATTCTCAACCTCGCAAAGCCGAACCCCAGACCTGAGGGCTGGCCAAGCAGCAGCTGTTTCAGAAGCCCAGCATGGGCAGCTGCTGGCACCTCGGCCCCCTCCTTATTTTCACTTCTCAGTGGCTGCTTCAGCCCTGAAGGAGACCCAGAGGGAAACCAGCTGGGGAGAATGGAGCCTGCCTTCCACAACCCAGGGCCCAGCTCTACCACGGTCTGGAAAAGGCCGGGTCAGGGTCTGAGGGACGTGCTTGCTGGCTGGCACTCTTCTTTGTCTCCTGTCTCTTTAGCCCAGGACAGACTCCGTCTGAAGGGACAAAGGGCCCCATTGACCCCATAGCCTTGTGACCCCACCCAAGTCTGTTCCTCCCCTTCCCAGGCAGCCAGCAGGACACTCGCTTGGGCAGCAGACAGGGGCCACGAGGCCGCTGAGAGGACATGGCAGGGAAGCCAAAGAGGCTGCAGTCAGCTGGGTGGGGAAGACGGGCAGTGTCTGGGCAGTACCCACCAGATCCCTGAGAGGAGGGGCCGCCAGGGGGGCAGGGCTGCCAGTTCCCTTGGCTGCAGTCCCAGGGGCAAAGCAGCAAATACCCTGCAGG